TGCGTACGATTACGTGTGCTTGTGAGAGAAAGGCGGTGTGATGTGTATGTGGGGGAGAGATGTACATGGGGGAAACACAGAAAAGGAGAACGTGAATGAGAGTTATCTGTTCTTGAGAAGAAGGAAACGATTTCGCTATGTTAGAGGCGCATATTTTTTTGTTTTTGTTAAAAAGGAAAGGAGATGAATTGTTTAGGAAAGAGAGGAGGATAGCGTGCTTGTGTGAGACGATATGTATAGTGATTTTCTAAGCGTAGCCTAGATGTGGCACAAGGTCAGATGCATGGAGCTCACAGTAAGTATCGAACTCCCTATTCAGCCGTAAATGATCTAACGAGACAAGAACGCAAACTATTACACCACAAAGTACGCATGAGACAAAATGATTGTATGTATAGAGAGATAAAATATATGTAATTAAGTCTGATTGTCCGTGTGTGTATGTTTGTGTGAGCGCGCGCGAGAGAGAGAGAGAGAGAGAGAGAGAAAGACTGGATAAGAGAGAAAAAAAGAGTATGTGTAATATTCTCTATTTCTCTCTGTTTTTCCCCCTCTCTTCCTTTCCCTTTATATTTATCTCCCGTCTTCTCTTTTTAGACACTCTTCCCATCACTCCTGCCATCGCTTTCATTCATAATCCACAAGAATTTAAATGGCAGTCGTGGTAACCTTGGCAACTGCAGCTCGCTCATGTGACTGGATACGTACACGGGCGAACATAATTAGAGACACTAGCGAAGAAGAAGAAGAAGAAGAAGAAGAAGAAGAGGAAGAAGAAGAAGAAGAAGAACAACAACAACAACAACAAGAAAAAAAAAAAACAAGACAAAAAACATTTTCTTCTCTTTTCACTTTTTACCTTCTTTTCTTTAACCTTCCCCAAATCTGTAGATCCTGCGCAGTGGGAAAAATGAGAACGTGTTTGCCTTAGGTGTTAGGATAGAAAAAAAATATCAGGTTTCGAACATTTATTTTCAAAGCAGGAATCTTCGATCACTTTGTTAGACTCACAATACACCGATCGTGCGAACTGCAACTTTATGAATATGTATGGTTTACAATCTATCTATCTATCTATCTATCTATCTATCTATCTATCTATCTCGATCTTTTCATTATTATCTATCTATCTATCTATTTTCATATCTATATCGATCTTTTTTATATCTATTTATTTCAGTCTATTTACATCTATCTATCTATCTATCTCGATCTATCTCGATCTTTTCATTATCTATCTATCTATCTATCTATCTATCTATCTATCAATATTTTTTATATCTATCTATTTCAGTCTTTTTACATATCTATTTATTTCATCTATTTATCTACCTATCTTTTCATTATCTATCTATCTATCTATCTATCTATCTATCTATCTATCTCTTTTTTTTTCTATTTATATATATCAATCTTTTATCTATCTATTTATTTCAGTATATATCAATCTTTTTATATCTATTTATTTCATCTGTTTTACATCTATCTATCTATCTATCTATCTATCTATCTATCTATCTCAGTCTGTTCGTATTATCTATCTATCTATCTATCTATCTATCTATCTATCTATCTATCTATCATTGATATCCTAATATTTTAGTTGGAATAATTTTTCGACCTGCAACACCCTTTTTCCAACCACGCCATTTTAAAAAATATTCTGGACATTTGCTCGCACCCCTTAATTTAGTCTGTAGGCATTTTACGACAAAGTGTTTTATCATTGATTTAATTATAAAACAATTACGAGAAAAAATCTATCTATCTATCTATCTATCTATCTATCTATCTATCTCTATTCATTATCTATATAGATCTATTCATTATCTATCTATCTATCTATCTATCTATCTATCTATCTTGTCTTTATTTTAAGTATTCTTTTTATTTTATCGTACACTTTAATTATTCATCACGAAAGATTTAACATTGAATAGTGCTGTCACATCTCGTCTTGTGTTTCCGTTACAAAGTCTTGTTAAAATACAAAGAACAATCTGCAATATTATTGATCCTGACCTGGCATCTCGTCTTCAATCACTTTGCCACTGCCATGATGTAGCTTTCCTGTGACTTTTCTCTAAATACTTTCATGATAATTCTTCTGATGTACTTTCCTTTATGGTACCCAGACGTTATGATTTTAAGCGCAGTACTAGATTGGCAGCTAGGTCTCTTCATTTTACACTTGAAATGGCTAGATGTAGCCATAAGTTTTGTGTTAACAATTTCTTCTCTTGCACTTCTTGCTTGTGGAACTCTTTTGTAGCTTCTTGCTTTCCAGTCAACTTTGAGCCTCAAAAATTTAAATGCAGTGTCAATCGTTATCTTAGGTTTCTTGATGGTTTGGGATTAAGAGTAATCTTTCTCCTCTATATATAGAAGGCTATATCAAGGCTATATAGAACCCAGGTTGCTCTGATATTTAATCCATATTTTTGGCTAGAAAAGATAGATTCATGCCTTTCCCAACATCATTAGAGCGAAAGTGAATGCAGCAGACTAGGTCGGAATTCGAACTCGGCTCGCCGATTCCAATTTCTGCGACAATAAGCGTTACGTCACCCTTACATCCTTTTTTTTTATATTCTTTCATAAACAATCGATTACATATTTATTGTGATAAAAATATAAATTTTACAGACGCCACACAAACGCACGACTACACACGCACGCACGCACACACACACACACACACACACATATATATATATATATATATATATATATATATATATATATATATATATATATATATATATATAGAGAGAGATTTAATAGGCCGGTTAACAAAATGTGAAGAATAAAAAAGCCAGCAAAACGATACCAATATTGTCAATAGAATTGATGTTTATTTTATATTAACCTTTTGACTGAATACTCAGTCTTTTCTCAGTTACAGGGAATGAAAGCGAAGAGAAAAGACTGAATGTAGGGAAGATTGAGGAAAGGACAAAAGATGGACGGGATTCAAGAAGATACGAACATGGCAATTGACGTTACATTTAAATTTTTGAAGATTGTAGTTATTAGGGAAGCAAGTAAACGGAAAGGATTTCCACAGGCGGGAAGTACAATAAAAGAAACGGTTGGAGTACACACACACACACACACACACACACACACACACACACACACACACACACACACACACATATATATATATATAGGGTGCGATGAATAAATTGGCGTCTAAATTACGCAAGAATGAAAATAACACCGACATCTCATTTTAACAGATATATTTACCAAAATTACACGGAAATATCTTGAAATACTAAAGAATCACTTTATTCAATAAAATCGCCATTGGCTTCCAGCACTGCCTCCAGACGAATTCGGAATCTCCTGGACGGTCACCCTGTTTAAGTTGGTGAATGCGGCCATAATCCTTGCCTTCAGTTCATTTTTGGTGTTATAAGGAGTTTTGTTGGTCTCTCTCTCAACTGCGACCCACACATAATAATCAAAGGGGTTGCAAGTCTGGGGAGTTAGGTGACCACATGTAAGGGGTGATGTAGTTGCAGAAATTGTCTTGCAGACATGACTGGGTTCTTCTGCGTGTGCGGCATGGTGCAGTGTCCTGTTGCTAGACATAGGGTCTGCCAACAGTCACTCTCTTGATCCAGGGCAGCACTACCTCCTCAACGCACTTAATGTAGGCCTCCGTGTTGAGTCGGATGCCCTCTCCAACAAATTTGGGAGTTCTTTTCTTATCCAAACGATCCGAGTGAGTTTTCCGAGCTGTTGTACCTTCGTAATCATTATTAAACTCATCAGGTTTTGAGGAGCGTGGAACCACCTCTTAAATGCAGGTCCACCCTGACCTGGGGTGGTAGCATCTGTTTGTTTGGGTCCCAGCTATGGGCAAATAGTTTGCCCCCAAACTGGGGTCAAAACACTCTAAAAGTGTAAAAATTGGTTTTAATACTAGAAATACTGTGTAAAAAATTATTACCAGCAATAAATTTTTAAAAAATATTAACAGTAATACATTTTTGAAAAAAATGTTACCAGCATTAAAAATTGTCAGCTTAAATAAACCATTTTGGTTGATATGCCGTAAAACAAACCAAACCAAACCAAACTGGAAGTCAGAAAGCTACAATCACTTGACTGTATCATTTTTGTGTTTGAACAATTCTTACTTTGCGAACATTTTGCCTTATTACTGTTGTTTTGTCCAGTTTTGACTTGCATATATATTGTTTGCTTCGTATTATTTTGCTCTTTTTCTTATTATTTATTGCGAACATTGTCAATTCCATATGTTGGGCATTTTTTTTGCCAGTTATAACTTAAACATGATTAATTACGAGAAGGCATCTCTCATTATTCCATTGCAACTTCGGATTTCGGTGTCACATTTCCGTCATTTATCTTCTTTTGCTGATAAACATACATTCTGTCTTCTTACAGGTGATAGTCTTTTCTTCTCCCTAGGAATTCCTGTAGTTACCTTTCCGTGTCTGTTATCAACACTGTGTCATCTGCATATCTGATATTGTTAAGACTGTAGCCGTCAATAATGAACCCTGGTAGGACTTCTAATTCTCTTAAGAATGCCTGACTATAAAATTTGAATAAGTCCGGTGAGAAGACACCTCCTTGTTTTACACTCCTTTCTTTTTTTTGTGTATTTAATGAATTCATTTTTATAACGCAGTCTATTAAAGAAATCCTACAAGTAACGTTGATTCATTTTATTGCTTTTACAATCTGTATTTGTCTCCCTAGAAAAAATATTTAGTAGCGATGTAAATTTATTTCTCGTGAATTCAGCGTAACACCAGTTCTTGCTCGATACTCAAAAAGGTATTTTTGAACAGTTATTCATAATGAAAATCTATATAGATCGATATATTCCTTAAGCAGGTGTAAGTAAACACTACTTATTATTATTATACGTTATTGTCGTACATGGCGGCTCAGTTGTAGTGCTGCAAGAATTTCTTTTTCATTTGACTCAGTACTGAAGCCATAAGTGTTTAAAAACTGACCCCATACAAATTTCAACATTGACTTACCAAGGATTGACATATTGTAAAAGCAACCAATCTAACCTAACGTACACAGAAAGATAGAATAATCGCTTCTAATTGGCTGTCTCCCCACTTATATATAAGGACGTGTGTGTATATATATATTATTTACACAAGAAAAGACTAGTCTTCCACTCTCCCATTTCTTTTTTTGTACATTTTCGTGCAAATAAATAATGCGATCAAAGTGTAGTATCGGTTCTTATCAGCTTAATCTGATTCCTTGTTTCATTTCTCACCGAAACCAAGTAGTGCTGTTTCCCTTCTTTCAACGCGACCAAAGCATAATAGTCCATTATTTTTTTTTTTAGGTATGGCAGGGCATAACGGTCGTGTGAACTAACGAAGGGAAGTTCAGGCACAATTAGAATAGGATTATTTTTTTTTTAGGTATGGCAGGGCATAACGGTCGTGTGAACTAACGAAGGGAAGTTCAGGCACAATTAGAATAGGATTATTATTTTTCTTATTTTTGTTGTTGTCATCACAACGTTTTGGCTGTTGTGTCTCTCCCCCACCCCCAACCTGGCCCGGGCTTAGTCAAGTGTCTCTCGTTTCAGGTATTTTGATCTGGGCCCTTTATTTAACCAACGGGAGTACTGTTCTCATTCCGCTACCCGTGTTCGGTTCGAAATTCTTTGAAAGTTACCTCGGCCGACAGTCCCCTGAAGAAGGCCGGAATGTACAACGACCGAAATGTTGTGATAATAACAGAGACGAAGACATTAACCCGACACCAGACTCATCCCAGAAATTCTGAGACAGATATATTATTATGAAAAGGGCACCCCGAGGCGGTGTAATGGTTAACAAGCTTGTCTTGCTAGAAAATTTACGACTGAGTAGCGAGTTCGATCCTCACTGGGCGCCCCATACTTTCGGCCTTGTGCCACATTTAAGCTACGCTTGGAAAATCACTATAATATATTATTACGAAAATATATTAGATTGAGTCATAAATAATTTCCGTTTTCGGTATACAAATTTGTATACCGAAAACGGAAATTATTTATGACTCAACAAAAAATAAAGTACAATTACATTTTATTCAATTATGCGTTCATAGTTACTGTGACTTGTTGCCATTTATCAGGCAGCTTCGAGTAAAGGCTTACGGCCACATCAGGTTGAAACACCGGGTCTCGTACGGTCACTGAAGCTTGGTCAGTACCAAGATGGGTAACCGCTTAGATGTGGAAGTAGTGTAATGGATAAAAAATCGGAATTAGAAATCTTAGAGCCGATTTCCAGTTTCAGTTACATCGAAGTTAAGCAACGTCGAGCTTGGTCAGTACCTAGATGGGTGACCGCTTAGACGTTCAGGTAGTGTAATGGATAAAGGATCGGAATTAGAAATCTTAGAGCCGATTTCCACTTCCAGTCTGGTTCCTGTAAAAACACCGAAGTTAAGCAATGTCGTGCTTGGTCAGTACTAAGATGGGTGACCGTTTGGGAATATTAGTTGCTATTAATGTGGATATGCGGGGCGGGTGGTGCAATGGTAATCGGGGAAACGAGTTCGAATTTCAGCCGGGTACATTATGTTCATATATGCGAAAATAACCTTGGGAAAGGTGTCAACCCACTAAATCTCCCCGCCCTAGTTCTGTGTTACTTATCCGGGCTTGTATCAGTAAATCATTATGACCTAAAAAAATATTTAAAATACCATTTTTATTTAATGTACAATGTGACATAGCTATCCGCGTTGTGCAAAGCATCGTTTCATTTATCTGCGGTAAGTGTAATAAAAAAAATCTTGTGCTGAAAACTAAAACTATTAGCTTACCATAAACAAATTACATTTTTGTTTATCAACGTTATTCAACAAAAAGTAAAGTACAATTCCATGTCATTACTTGTCAGGCAGCTCTTTAAGAACTTTTCAGTAAAATTCCATAGGTTTTAATATGAAAACGTTTTCGAGAAACTTTTTTTTTTTTCTGTTGGGAACAGAGATCATAAAAGGTAATCATCTGATGGTGTATGATCAGGTGAATATGGTGGATTGGGTAAAACAGAACAATCTAGTTCCCGATTTTTTCCTTGCTTATTGTATGCGGCCTTGCGTTGTCATGAAGGAGAACAAAATGTTTCCTTTTACCCACCGTGTACTCTGTCACTATCTTGTAAAATCTAAGGTATGTATACTGATAAATCATCAGTTACCTCCCCTTAAAATCTAGGAGGTATAAAAAATACGCCAGTAGACGAGTAGTCAGAGTATAGTGCAATAAAGCTTTGGTATAAGTTTATTCACTGGTTTTTTTTTTATATATATATATATATATATATATATATATATATACAAGTAAAAGACAGGTTAGTACCAATGTATAGACATATTTTTAAAAAATGCTCGATATAGAGTAGACAATAATACTACTAATAATAATATATTGTACTAATAAATCATCAGTTACCTCCCCTTAAGATCTAGGAGGTATAAAAACACCGTATCCTGTCAGTGAATAAACTGATACCAAAGCTTTAATGTACTTTACTCTGATTACTCGTCTACTGACGAGGGATACACGGTTTTTTATACCTCCTAGATCTTAAGTGGAGGTAACTGATGATTTATTAGTACAATATATTATTATTATTATTATTATTATTATATATATATATATATATATATATATATATATATATATATCGAATGAAAGACAGGTTTGTACCAATGTATAGACGTTATGTTTTTTAAAAGTGTTCGATATAGAGTAGACCTTAATAATAATAATAATAATAATAATAATAATAATAATAATAATAATAATAATAATAATAATAATAATAATAATATATTGAACGAATGAAAAATAAACCAGTAAATCAGGAATCAGAAGAAGTTAAATGTGCACTGAAAAAAGCACCTTGGAAAAGATCTAAAAGAAGGTATATTAAAAACACCCTCGCCAAAGTCAAGAAAAAATCCGTCATGGAGTACCTTCGACCCAAAAATAGTGACACACCTTGAAAGAACGAAAACTATAGACCAATTACATGTCTTCCAACAACATACAAACTGTTAACATCTATTTTAACAAAACAGACATATTTCTTCTTGGAAAGAAATGACATACTACCACTTGAACAAAAAAGTCAATTACTTATTAATAGGATGTAAACTGGAAAAAAAATCTTAATTGCCTGGATAGATTATCGTAAAGCATTCGATTTTCTGGATCTTAAAGTCTTAAGTTTATTCACTGGTATGTCGATATGGAAAACTACACTTTACCTCAATCAAAAAATGGAACCTATTTGGCGAAATAAACAGTATAATATTTCAAGGTGACTCTTTGTCTCCTTTAATTTTAAATTTAAGCATTAACCAGCCAACGTAACAAGACAGAATTAGCTCAAAAGAAAATAAACCATCTAGGACCATACATTGTATGCTAGGAATTACAATTGGAAGGTCTTTGCAAACTGTAACAAAGAATGAAATTAATTAAATGACTAAAACTACAACAAAAGTTTATTTAACAATAAAAGATTTTCTATCTTTATCATAAGAAAATTTTTGTAAGCATTTCCGTATTAAAACCTGTCAAAGTGGCCATTAATAAAGACAGTGGTCCAATTAAAATGAAGAAAAAATGACAAAAAATGGATTTCTCACGAGATGATCATCCAAATATATATATCGATTAACTACAAGACAAAACCACTAATTACATGGAAACAACAAATGACTGGATGATAAAATTAGTGAAACAACATGAAAAAACAGAAAAAAAATAAATAAAAGAGGAGTAAATCAACATTTTACATTTAGTAGGAGTAAATCAAAAAAAAAGAACCAATTTTCTAAAAATATGAAAATGCCAAGGATAAAAGAATGAAAAATGACAAATTGCTATCCAGAACGTGCAAATAAACATGGTCCATGTAGATGTTGATGAATCTGGGAAAGGTTTTATTTCTCTTTATTATCCAAAACAGGATTTGTTATCTAATTTTTTAATTCTGAATATAAAAATTCCATCAACCGTGACAATGTGCAAACACTTCGATATTAAATCCCGGTTACCCCTGCAATTCTATGGCAATTCCTAACCAAATGCGGACATTATTGTCAAAAACCAGAAAGAAAAAACCTGCCTACTTTATCTTGTCGGATTGTAACATACCCAAGGAATCGTTTATGAAATAGAAAAAAGTAACCTCAAGACCTTTCAACTTTGGAAATAAAAAATGGAACAAAACAACACATTGAAAGAATCCCTGAAACCCCCTTGCAGAAAAGGCGTTAAGGAGAATTTGTTTCTTTCGAAAAAAAAAAAAAAAAAACGTCAGTTGACCTTTTACAGATTTCAGTGTGTCCATACCGAATGATGATGATCAGCATTTTTTGTTGTAAATCATTACCTCCCCTTAAGATCTAGAATAAAAAAAACACCCTGTAAATCTATCTATCTAGTTTTCATATATCTATTCTATCTTTTCACTACAGTATATCTATCTCAAATTAAATCTCATCATTATCTATCAATTATCCCGACAAAGGAAATTAATTATGACTAAAACTAATATTTTACGATTTCTATCTTTATCATCTCCGTAAAATCTAAAAGACGATTAAAATAGAAAAAAAATATCTCACGAGATCTATATATCTATCTCAGAAAACCTGATGAAATAAATAAGAGGAGGAATCGTTGCAGAAAAAGGATTTTCTATATAAAATGAAAAAGAAGAAAATGATTGCTTGCGCAACATGGTCCATGTAGATGTTGATGAATCGGAAATTTCTCTTTATTATACGATTTGTTATATTTTTTAATCTGAATCCATCGTATCGATATTAAATCCCTACCCCTGCAATCGCAATTCCTAACCCTGCCATTGTAATCACCTGATTTATCTCTCTCTACCCATCGTTTATACGAAGTAACCTCCGACCTTTCAACTTTCGAAATTGCACACCTGCTTCCCTGCAGGCGTTGAATATTTTCTTTCGACGTCAGTTGTTTACATTTCATGTACCTGATCAGCATTTTTTTGTTGCAGATTATCTATCTATCTATCTATCTATCTATCTATCTATCTATCTATCTATCTATCTATCTATCTCAGTTTGTTCATATCTATCTATCTATCTATCTATCTATCTATCTATCTATCTCAGCTGATGAAATCTCTTGCAGAAAGGCATCTATCTATCTCAGCCTCTTCATCTATATCTATCTATCTATCTATCATCTATCTATCTATCTATCTATCTATCTATCTATCTCAGTTTGTTCATATCTATCTATCTATCTATCTATCTATCTCTATCTATTTGTATCTATCTATCTCAGTTTGTTCTATCTATCTATCTATCTATCTATCTATCTATCTATCTATCTATATCTATCTATCTATCTCAGCTGATGAAATCTCTCTTGAAAGGCATCTATCTATCTCATCTTCATCTATCTATCTATCTATCTATCTATCTATCTATCTATCTCATTTATCTATCTATCTATCTATCTATCTATCTAATCTATCTATCTATCTATCTATCTATGATGAAATCTCTTGCAGAAAGGCATCTATCTATCTCTGCCTCTTTATCTATCTATCTATCTATCTATCTATCTATCTATCTATCTATCTATCTATCTATCTATCTCGGCTCTTCCGATTGGCATTACATCACCCGCACAATCACGTTAACAGTATCTGGTATTCCCAAGCAATCATCTAGGTACTGACCAAACTCGACGTTGCTTAACTTACTGCACTCAACTAAGATAATAAACTAGAGAAACTGAATAAAAAAAAACAAAATTTTCCTTGTCCGTCACATTAAATGAAACATGCATATACGTCTGTGTGCATGTGTGTATTTACGTGTGTGTGGGGGGGAGAAAGAGATGAAGTGTTTTGATTCCTATGTCCACACTGCTTATACCTATAAATGGCCTATCTCCGATTTTAAGTACTCTTCCCAAATAAATCTACGAATTTTTATATATATATATATATATATATATATATATATATATATATATATATATATATATATATGTGTGTGTGTGTGTGTGTGTGTGTGTGTGTGTGTGTTGTGTGTGTATGTGTGTGTGTGTGTGTATGTGTGTGTGTGAAGAGCCTTCCCTTCTTCAATCTATTGCCATTCTCCGCTTCATCATTTCCAGCCTCGTTTTCATTCTTCCTTCCTTGCAGTTTCCTATTTCAACTTTCCCGCCAACCTCCATTAGCAATTCTTGTTGCAACGTTATCTGCCTCCTTCTTTCAAGACCATCGTTCCACCTGCAATGCGTCACCTGCTTCTCTCTCATTCTCTTTTCTCTCTTTCTCTCTCTCACACATTCACTTTTCCCTCCCCGCTCTCTCGCCTGCATTCACCTAACCTCTTTCAATGTAGGCGAAGGGGATTTTTAACATTGGATTGTGGCTCTTTCCTTTCATTCTAACACTGATGTTGAGGCTTTGCGAGACAGTAGTC